GGTGCTTGGTCCTGCCGTGAGGGCAGGGGACTGGACTCGATGACCTTCCGACGTCCCCTCCAGTTCTAGTGTTCTGTGATTCTATGGAGATCAAGCCTTTTAGCTGTGATCAGACTTATCCTCAGCCACGTTCACATTCTGATTCTAAAGGGTCTGTTAACATCACAGCAGCGACAGAAATCTGGGAAGGCGACCTGTGAAATCACAAGCCTATCCTTAAGCAGACCTTTTCTCAAGCAGCATGTGCGCATTCACGTTGTACCTGCTATGGACGCACTGTTTTCACAGAGCGATTAGACAAATGAGGGAGACCAATGGGGGGGATAGGGGGGAATGTGTAAAGTTGCACCTGGGTTCGGGAGGTTGCTGACGTCTTCCCCCAGAGGTGGCTGCATTCCATCTGACGTTTGGGTCTGTAGGAGGGATTCCTGCGTTAGCAGTCATTCCCAAATTCCCACCAGAGTGGTAGAGGCCTGGATGGGACCCAGAGTCTGGAAAAGAGTCTGAGATCCTGGATCACTAGTGATGTTGTATCTCTCCAGCCTATCAACATGGTGCTGACTAATTATGATAAAATTGCTTTTTGGTTTTGAAATCTCATTAGCACGGATGGCAATGAACAGGGCTAATGGCTAAAATTTTAAAATAGGTTATATAAGACCACAATCCTGCAATCCCTCATGTCCCCAGTTAATGGAGCCCAGCAATCCTGGATGCAATTGAAATGAAAGGGGGATTTATTTATCTTGATTTATTTGCAGAGCAACCTAGGTAAATTAGTTGCCATTCAAAAGTGTCATTTGCCAAAATGCTGCCATATAGTTATCAGTTATTTCCTCTTTTATGTACTGGGGAAAATATGCGGGCCAGCACCTCCTCCATGTGCTTGGCGAGTCTGTGTCACCCGGTCACAGCGCCTCTCCCTGCCGTGCACCTAGGGTTGCCAGATGGTTTCAACAAAAACACCGGACACAGTTGATATTCCATCACAATCTACATCTTAGTAAGAAAATACCGGACATTTCATTTTTCTCAACTTGTTTCCTGAGCAGAAAGTTCAAACACTGGACTGTCCAGTTCAAAACCAGACACCTGGCGACCCTGTGTGCACCCAGGCCGGGAGGTGGTGGCCAGCAGGTGTGGACACCCCCCCCCCACTGCATCAACGCCCCTGGATAGGGGCCACGAAGCCCGGGAGGTGGTGGCCAGCAGGTGTGGACACCCCCCCACCACTGCATCCAGGCCCCTGGATAGGGGGCAGCTGGAGACGGATCCCTCTGCGACTCTCTCTCATAAGGTTGTCGGCCGGGGAGGGAAGGGGAGAGAGGTTGTAGATCTGTCCTATGTATAACTCTCCCCCCACTCCCCATGCCCTGAAACTATGGCTTTCCTGCTAAACAACATGGTGGCGTATGTGTGTAGGCCTGTGCCGAAGCCCCATTTAACATGACGTTACTAATAGGGAGAGGGAAACCCACCTTCGATCAAGTGATGTTCATTGCTGCCAAACCTGCCCCCACAGAAGTGTGCGGTTACAGAAGGGGCCGACAGCACCGTTTATCCCACTGAGCAAGGGGGGAAAAACTGCAGGGAAAAGAAAGGAAGTCTTAGCTACCCTGTCCCAAAACCCAGACTATCTCCCATACCTGAGGGTATGTCTACACTACCCTCCTAGTTCGAACTAGCGGGGTAATGTAGGCATACCGCACTTGCAAATGAAGCCCGGGATTTGAATTTCCCGGGTTTCATTTGCATAAGGTCAGGGTGGTTAAACACAGGAATGAATTGCCCAGGGAGGTTGTGGAATCTCCATCCCTGGAGATATTGAAGAGCAGGTTGGACAGACACCTGTCAGGGAGATCCTGTCAGGGATGGTCTAGATGGTGCTTGGTCCTGCCGTGAGGGCAGGGGACTGGACTCGATGACCTTCCGACGTCCCCTCCAGTTCTAGTGTTCTGTGATTCTATGGAGATCAAGCCTTTTAGCTGTGATCAGACTTATCCTCAGCCACGTTCACATTCTGATTCTAAAGGGTCTGTTAACATCACAGCAGCGACAGAAATCTGGGAAGGCGACCTGTGAAATCACAAGCCTATCCTTAAGCAGACCTTTTCTCAAGCAGCATGTGCGCATTCACGTTGTACCTGCTATGGACGCACTGTTTTCACAGAGTGATTAGACAAATGAGGGAGACCAATGGGGGGGATAGGGGGGAATGTGTAAAGTTGCACCTGGGTTCGGGAGGTTGCTGACGTCTTCCCCCAGAGGTGGCTGCATTCCATCTGACGTTTGGGTCTGTAGGAGGGATTCCTGCGTTAGCAGTCATTCCCAAATTCCCACCAGAGTGGTAGAGGCCTGGATGGGACCCAGAGTCTGGAAAAGAGTCTGAGATCCTGGATCACTAGTGATGTTGTATCTCTCCAGCCTATCAACATGGTGCTGACTAATTATGATAAAATTGCTTTTTGGTTTTGAAATCTCATTAGCACGGATGGCAATGAACAGGGCTAATGGCTAGTCTTTAACAATAGGTTATATAAGACCACAATCCTGCAATCCCTCATGTCCCCAGTTAATGGAGCCCAGCAACGTGATCTCACCCTGTGCCCTTGGCAGGGATCACGTCCTCTTCTGGACAGAGGTGTAGAAACAACATGAAGCAGTGAGCCGATTCCTTCTGTTTGCAGAGCATTTCTCCTTCCTCCCCCTGCCCCGATTTAGGGCAACCCTCCAAGGTACTGGCCAGCTCGCCTGGCAACCCAACAGGGCCAGCCAGTAAGTTT